TTTTTTTAATTTAATTTACTTTTATAAGGATAATTTCGATGCACGTTTTCTGAAATTCTTTCAAATACGAACTAGTAGTTGCTTTCGCGATTTTCATATTCAGGTCGTTTTTGTTATCAAAGTTAGTTTGGGTCTGATACGAGTCCGATCCTAGAGAACCGAATTATTATGATTATTATTGTTGTTGTCATCATCGTTACTAACCGAAGCGTGTATCCAATAGCTTTTTATCAGACATTTTAAGCCTTTTAACATGATTAAAAAAAATATTATTATTATTATTTCAGCTACAAGGCATTTGTATGAGGAAGACTTACTTCTAACATCTCATCGATACAAAGAGTTAAAGACTGGGGTACATGGACAGAAAAGGGGTTTTACACCGGGCCGAGTATGGCCTGATGGCAAGATACCTTTTGTAGTGGATAAAGATTTAGGTAAGAGTAATGATTCGAACCAGGCTGGTTAACTGCCATCTTGAAGGCAGTTTTAAACGATGCTTGAAAACAAGTTGATCACTTGTTTTTCTTCATGACAATACTTGAGTTCCAAGAAATGTCCTTCCTCGGAAGGATTTTTTTCTTTGACAAAACCTGTTGAGTCCAAATTTTAGTTCGATGCGTACCAAAAACTAATTTGAAATTACACGAATGTGCCGCCACCAAATTAATTACAGGCAGTTTACTTTACTTCGGAACGACCCCAAACATAGATAGAGAAATGTTTTGTAAGCGATTTCCTTTTGGTTCTCTTGTTATTGTTGCTGCTGTTGTTTATGTTTGTTTGTTTGTTTGTTTGTTTGTTTTTTCAATCCAATCATTCATTAATTCGTTTGTGCATTCTTTCATTTGTTGTACTGCATACGAGCTGTTGTTGAAGTTGTTGTTTGTTGCTTTTCTTGCCTTTGTTTCTTTGTGGTTTCCCTGATAAAATTGTCCAATTTATTGGCATTGCCTTGGTACTCTGAGGCTAATTCTAAGGAATTCTTTTCAGAGAGATCCTATAAGGCGAGTGAAACGATTGCTGAGGCAATGAAAGAATGGACGGATAAATCATGTGTAAAATTTGTACCGCGATCCAGCGAGAAAGTTTATCTTCATATTGTAAACGACGACAAAGAAAGGTAAGTTGTGGTATCGTGTAATAAGGCATACCCGTTTTTTAGATTCACCAATGATTACGGTACGAACCGAAAAAAAAGTTGAGTAACACCACCCACAACTTTAAAGACCATTTATCAAAAGTTGGCGCTGATGAAAGTCCCCACCCAAAATGTTAGTTAAATTGTCATTTTCCTTGTAAATTTAGCATCGGAAGGGGGAAAAGCCAAAAGAGGCATCAGTAAACGAAAATAATGATGATAAAAATAAATTTGAAGTAAATAAGAACCGAAAAACTTCGGGTGAAAGCAATCACTTAATTTGGCCAAGTGTTAACAAATTTTTTCAGAATAATCACAGAAAGTAGCCTTATCATTAAGCAAGTGAGCTGTGGATACATGGAACTGAAAAAGGAAAATAAACTGCAAACTCGAACATTATGCACTAAAGTGTGACGAATAGTGCAAGCGAAATGTTTATATTTTAATTTCTTTTAGATGCGCATCAACTGGTGTCGGCTTCGAAGACGAGAGGTACTGGTTGTTGCTCGCTCCCCGCTGCTGGTGGAAAGGGATGGTTATACATGAGCTTGGTCAGTACAATCACGTGCCTTTTCTCCCTGGGAACGACCTTGTCTTATTCAGTATTTACTCCCAACAGGTCACGTGATTGGTTATTTACACGAGCACGTGCGCCCTGACCGAGATGACTACGTCACTGTCAAATGGAAAAACATCAAAACAGGTTGATATGTTATCGATCTTGATTTATGAAGTTGAATCGGAGCTACTTTCGAAAAAAAATATATCCAACGGTCTCATAAGATATGTCTGTCTTTTTCAATCTGTGTTTTGTCAGGGCGTGGTATAGATTTCGACAGACAAAACGACAGTGATACAAGTTCGTATATCACACCTTACGATTACTCTAGTATCATGCACTATGGAGATGGATTTGCTTCCAAAAATGACGAGAAAACATTGGTTCCAAAACACTCAGGGGTAGGGATAGTGCCTTCATTTGATGGAAAATAAACAGATAAGTGCGGCTTATTGTCATTTTATTATAGTGGATCCTATATTTGAACACAATTGGCTGTAATGAATGGAAGGTACTGAGCAGTATTTTCGGTTAGTGCATATATTTCATGGAAGTTGTTTGAATTCTAGGCAGGTTCCCTTGCGAAAACCTCCAATTTAATTAAAGCGATTTCTCTTGGTTTTGGCCTCCCTGTTTTCTTGTAGAAGACTCAGAACATGGATAATTTCACTCTCCGCCTTAAAAAGGGTGAAGATTTTCCGGTTATTTCAGTCATTTTTTTTTGTTTGCTTGTTTTTCTCTCGATATAGGTGACCATTGGACATTGGGAGAAGCTCAGTGAAATCGACATTCAGCAAGTCAATTTACACTACAATTGTCCAGCGGGTTAGCAAAGTGATAAATTGTTTTTATCCATGGCGTAAAAATCATATTTAGCTATCATCCGGCATGTTATGTTGACTGAGTGGGACAGCCTGACTGGAAAATACTCGGCTCGAGGTTATGACGTACCAACCGAGCGCAGCGAGGTCCTTGCGTCATGACCGATAGCTAACTATTTTCCCGTCCAGCCCGACCATACTCAGTCAGTAAGCATTTCATCGTATGACCACTAAGTGTTGAGGATTTCAACCTAAATAGGACGTGATAAACGGGCACACGCAGCCATACGAGCTCAAAGAAAAATTCTGCGATTAAAAATTTTCTGTTATTTTTTCGAGTAAAAACAAGAAACTCCCATTTCCGTGAAAACCACTTTTTTTGTGAGTTGAGCAGGGCAGGATGGCTTTTTCCTAACAGTAAAGTCAACGGTTCGGAAGCCATTCAAAGTACAAAATATAGATGGACAATCCTTGTCACAGTGAAAGCTCGTTGTTGTTACCAGATTCCTACACTTACGAGAGATTCATCTGCCAGGATAAAAGGGATAGCATCACGTGTTATGGGGGAAGGAAGATTAAGATAATACGTGCTTACTACGGCAGAAAGAAAGCGTTTAAATGTGGATTTGGGATGAACACAAACTGTGAAGCCATGGGATCGGAAGCCAAGGTAATATTGTTCATTGTCTCGCAAACGGAAGCACTGAGTTAGTTATGCAGAGATTGAGGGATCCGGGGTAGTATCAACTGACTGGCTAAAAGCACACTAGCATTTCCTCACAGATTCCACCGTAATCAGAGCAGTTGCTCTACGCAGCTATTAGGAAAATTACTGCTATTTTCTTTCCCTTTTAATTTTCTTTGAACCTATGTTGTCCTTTTTATTGCTGCGTGTGTTTTGGGTGGACTATTTTCGGTGAGTGTAATAGTTGTTGTAACGATATTTGCCCCCTTCGTCCTAACCGCGTCCTCGGAGGGGTTATCTGGCTTGTTATCAGAATCTACCTTTTTTCTTCGTTCCTTTCCTATTTTGTTTTCATTTGTGTTTTATATACACATATCTGATGAACAGTTAGGTGACTCGTCTACTTTCGTTTTTGTTTGGTAAGATAAACGAAGCTTGTGACTGGAAAAACACGTGCAAACTTCATGCCTCAAATGACGTATTCGGAAATCCTTGTCCAACATGGTCTTCCAAGTACATTCAAGTCAAATACCAGTGTGCTTAAAATGAAAGTGGTATGCATTATTGTTATCCTTACCCACTGAATTTCAGGACGTTTTTCTAATTTAGTCCCCTTCCGTTATAGATGCTCAAGGTACCTTAGTGTGTCGCAAAATAGGGCGCAAAATCGAATGCAAAAAGCTCCGAAAGCATATTGTGCTGTACATCGTCTGACGACAAGGATCGGTTGGCGAAGGGGAGGATAAAAAAAAACTGTCAACCCTCAGATTATACAAAAAAAATGCACTACGTTAGTCAAAAACTTGTGACTTAGTCCAATTTTCCGCACTCATTCTCGTATTTTGTCCTCAATTTCACCTTCCCCATTGTTTGGTGTCGATTGACGCGCTTTCAGACAATGAGCATGCTCAAGTATCATATTTAGCATCGCTGTGCAATATAAAGAAATCGACCTGGAGCGGCACGAGAATTCAGTTTATCCCTTACACTTTTTTTTTCGTGTTACAGGTTATCACTGCTGAAAGACATTCAAGATAGTTTCAATAAAAGCCAAACAAAAGATTTACATCACCTTTGTTTTGCTGGACGTTCTGTAAACTGCCACGAATAGAAAAATCTAAATAAGATACGATCTGACAAGTTATAATGGGAAGGGACAGAGTCATCAAACACTGCAGTTGACAATTCTGCTGCAACTAAAATTTATAATTCTCTACGCAGTTTTCCAATGTTTTAAAGGTCATAGACAAAAAGGGATAGGCTTGGTTGGTTTTTTTCATTCCCCATAATTTTTGCTCCTGGACTGATGGAGCATAGCTTTCCAAGAATTTCAATTGTGACGCCGTTTGAATTTGGAAAAATAACATTATTTCTGGGAAGCAACTACTAACTCTCTGAGGAGGAGATCCTCTCGCTTAACTATTGCTCCAATACAATTTAAAAACAGGGAATTCACTCTTCCGTCTTCTTCAAACAGCATCTTTTAGATCACAATGAAGGAAAAATAAAACGAATCAATATCCACTCTGAAACATTTTGAGTTGCATCTTTATTACTTTCAGTGATAAGTGTGGTACATCCATTCTAATTACATATTTAACTAAATTACTCTTTTCGAAATTGTAAAAAAATTCACACTTAGTGCGCAAAACCTAAGCAAGTCGATAAAACTGGTGCGTTACCTCACTCTACATGACTTGTAGGCTGCAGTAATCTCTAAGCAGTTCCCTAGCATAATATGTTCTCCCTCATAAACCCGCCGTGATAAGGCAAAAGTTACGTAATTTCCGAACAATGACCAATACGCTTTCTTTCTGCCAAAAATCGTTAGAAATTAACGAGTCGCCACTTCTCAAAAGACAGAAAAAAAACTGATTCCGTTTTCAACAGAACCGATGATAGCATGAAGAACTGCGTCTGTGTGAATTTTGTGCCACTGGCTATACACAAAGACAAAAACAAAAACTGACGAACGAAAAACATGACCAAAAAATTAAAAAAGAAATCAAAAAAAAAAAAGAAAAAAAGAAAAAGGAAACCGATAACGTGCGGATATGATCGAGATACGAACGTAAAAATTAATATAGGACCACTACAATGTAACTGCCAGATGAACGGAAAAGAGACAAATCGACGGCTTGATTATAACTGAAGCAATAAGACAAATATCTACTAGAAATCAATTAATTCATCTGGAGTAGGATGCCACTATTTTGTTCATGCAATTTCCTATAATACATTATTAACCTTCCCATAGCACTTTAAACTCAATCCTGATCACATAGCTTGGAGACAAGATTTTCAAACTCGCTCCCCGCCTTTGCGCATGTTACGTTCTCTAACTTAGCTGCGTTCTCTAACTTAGCTGCGTTGTGGTCTATTTTACTCTCACTAGTCCCCTGAGTCAGCTCAGTGGCCGTATCTGACAAGGAACGCAGAGTTCGTTTGTAGCTGAACCCTCGTGTACCGTCCGGTCCACTGGGTTTACGGATCACTTCAATTCTGTGAAAGAGAAAAATTCATGATCTGACTAGAGACTCCCATCACCAGACGAAAGCTAACGCTCGACACGTTAGCTTTAGAAACTGTTTAAGGTGGCCAATTTACATGATCAAATCAGTTCAGAAAACCAAATTGTCTTCTTGTACCCTCCACCGACGCAGCACCACAGTTCCTCTACAAACTTAGCCCCTTTTATTATCAATTACCCTATTCGTAAGAAGCAGTCCAACGCGTACAGTTGTAACAATACATCTAAGAATGTCAAGTTTATCCTTCCACTGTCAACATCTGATTGATAATTCCCAATACTGGCCGCTATACATTTTCAAGAATGTTCCTCTAGATAATTTGCGGTTTTATTGCTTGGCCTGACGGTGATTTTCTAATTCTTCGTCACTGTTTTATTAAATCTAAGGGAATGATACCATGTCACTGATTGACGGGAGTCAATCAAGAGGTTTGTTCCCTATATAGTTCGTTTCCATCAAAACAATTTGAATTAAACAAGAAACGAACTATTCGCAACCTTTCCACCTAACACCTTACCTAGGTCCTGGGCTTTGGACACTCTCTGAGAACGTTCTGCGTATGAGTCGTTCGGGTCTCTGAGAATCACTGCAGAAAATGACATAATTCGGATCAGGAATCAATCCCTTCTAGTTTCTAGTTTCTTTGTCACAGACGCTAATACTGACTGACGACAGCTTTGTGCACGATCTTGGTGAGAATATAGCCTGCTACTTGCGAGGAATAAATTTGACAGGGATCTGTTGGAATGCTTACCTGATCCTACGCACGCTACAGGCGCTCATCTTGCGGCTCTTCTGATTCTGCACCACAACAAACTCCACCTCGTCTCCCGGCTGGAGGGAGAGAAACAAGACCGCCAAAGGGTCAAATTTATTGCCTCAACGGGCGATAAAAAATGTACATGATTTGCCCCACGAGTCGAGACTTCCCCACGGGCCGAGACTTTTGCCCACAAGCCATTCTCCCTAACACCATTAGAGGCGGCTTTCCATGTTTGAAGCCTTTCCCGGGAATAATACGAAGTGAGTACTTTCTACTTACTTGTAGTTCAACTTCACCCTCCACCTCACTCATATGAAAGAACAGGTTCTTTCCTTCCTCGTTTTCATAGGCAATGAAACCAAACTGAAAATAGAACGAGTACATATATCGTTTAAACACTAATGACGAATCTAATGAATCGCGATTGTGGGACAAAAAAACAAAATTCTGCATCCTCACCTAGAATCGAACTCAAGAAGAAGAACATTTACCTGGCCTTTGACTGACTCAACTCGCGCCCGCACTCGTTGTCGTACACTGACCACTTTCATGGCAATCTCTCTTTCCGTTTGTTTGTCGACACCGACTTGAAAACGTACCTAACGAGTCAAGGACAATACTGTTTAATTAACTGATTTGTGATGAGAGGGCAAGGTCAGTTCTAGAAGGGAGTTTGAAAACTCGAGCTCCGGTTACGACGACACTATACCTTATCTCCATACTGAAGCACTGTTTTTTTGTCCACAAGACTTGTAATGCCATACTCCACAGTAAAGGAGTCACCATCATCTAAGTCCTCCTCCGCCTCATTCTCAGATCCACTTTCCTGGTCCTCGGTAGTTCTGCGCTTAATTAACCCAGCATACTCCAATTGCTACAAAGTACAGGGTCACAAATGAGATTTAAAAAAAAAAAATGGGTGGATGAATGAGAAAAATGTATGTTTTAACCACTTTAAACTATTGAATATCAGTTTTGGGACCAGACTCCAGGTTTACACGAAAGGCTACCTTTGAATAACTCCCAAACTAGAGAAAATGGTCAAGACATTTTCAAGCGGATTTTTACATATTTAGATTAAAATAAGAGTTTAAAAAAATTACACAAATGGTGTACACATTCAGGTTAAGTTTACAACCCCTGCAGTCTGTGAGCCGTACCTGTGGATCAGCACGCCTCAAAGACCTCAGAACTTTTCCCACATAAACTTCTGGTAGAATTTGTTCCTGAGTAATGGTCCCTTGAGGTACTTTGACTACCATCTCTGCACTGACTTTACCATTCTTACATTTGATGTTGTACTCCACCTCATCACCAAGAATGAGCTCATTGGGATCACCATCGTATTCACTGTCAGGAAGTTCAAGTCAACCACGGGATCAATTTATCAGTGTAACAAGGACGCCAGTAGGCGGGAATAGGAGAGAGGCAATTGATGAAATCTGGATTTTGATTTGTATTTAACAAATGGTAACCACCACAGCATACACTATCGAGTTAGGGATGCACGCGGAAGGTTGCTAAGCATGAAAGAAGCGTAAGGGTAGCGGAAGGCGATAGCCGAGAGCGACTCTAGCGTACGCAGTGGTGTTTACCATTTGTTTTATAACACAACATTGATACATTGTAGCAAAAGAGTGCCCTTTACTTAACAAATCTCACGCGACCATAAAAAACAAACTAGTCATTGCATTTGCTCACATCAGCAGCATACACCCATGGGCAAATGGTGGACACTGAATTGACCAATTTGAACGCGCGCTTTACTTTAGTTATGTGATATTACAATATGGAAAACTTTCACCACCACCTCACCCACACAGATGCAAGAATGGACCAATAAGAGCTTGACTGTTTTGAGATCTTGACAAATTCCAGGTGGTTGAACCCTTGTTCTGGTGGCATCCTAATCAACCCTTTGATACATATGTTGTAGCAGTTAAGCTTTATTTTCTGGTGAGTCACAAATGGATTATGCTCTAAAAATAATCTGATAAATTGAAGGCTAAATCAAAAGCTCTACCAAAAATGAAAATACCCTTGCATCAGAAAACCAGTGAAAATACTTGTGTAGCTCTAAAATAGCCGGGAACTGTATATCATGTTTTAACAGTTACAAGTAGATAAAATAATTTTGGTGCAAACCTGTAGTGGAAAAACACTTCCTTGTCATGTTCAGTTGTCTCCAAAAACCCAAAGTTCTCCTTAAGGGTCGCAACAAATCCCTTTCAAAAGCAAAAAAAAAAATAAATAAATAAATAAAAATAATAATAATAATAATAATGATGATGATGATGATGATGATGATGATGATGATGATGATGATGATAATAATAATAATAGCAATCATCATCATCATCATCATCATCATCATCTTTGGTGAAAACTGCAAATCATTTGGCAGTCATGCATGTATTGTATTAAAAAGATGTTTTAAGAATTTCACAAACTGGATGCATTACAAGTGTGTTTCCCACTGATAAATTCTCCACATAATAATTATCACAAACAAAAAATAATAATTATGATAGGAAACAGGATGGAATAGTTCAGAATAGGTATTCAAAAGCTCAATGTGTATAAAAATACACTGGGTAACGATGCTTCTGGACTTTCCAGTTTGCAAAAATTTATTTTGAAAACTCTTTCTAAAAATGTAAAAGAACCTGGCAATTTCAAAAAGGCAGAGAGCTTAGATGGAAACCTCACCATGTGGCGTATTTCACTGTTTCTTTTCAACACTGTTACATTTACTGCTCTTCTGTAACCAGTTCTTTGACTTTCTGACAAACTGAACTCCACCTAGGCAGTACAAAAAAAAAAAAAAAAAAAAAAAAAAAAAAAAAAAAAAAAAAAAAAAACCTCAGTATATGAGTTGTTGAGGAGAAGGATTAATGTTCAATTCTGTACTACCTCAAATTGCAATGGACTAACGGCAAACTCATTCTTGAAGAAGTAGAATGCATAATTATAGAATACATAAAAGACTATCATCCCTAATTAAAATAGGACATCTTTCCATGTCAATAAAAATGACATATCAATTTACCAGGTCACCATACTGGGCAACTCCTCTCAGCTCGAAATTGTTAAAATCAAATGGTAGCAACTCCTTGACCCCATTAATGAAACAGTTGATCAGACCAGACTCACTCTCTCTGTATAAAAACACATAATAAGATAATTAATAAATAAGTTGAATTATATAGGTACTTTGATTGGTTCTTATTTGTGATCTTTTGGAGTACAGGCACATAGATGAAGTAACCATTAACAAGTTCTTGCTTCTTTAGTATATAAACAAACAGATTCCATGTTATTGTAGGTCTATTGAGTAATAGATCACAGAAGACCTCAAAATGTGTTAAGAACATCAGCAACACATTTAGCTGCACCTCCTCTGCAACTGTTTTTGTTCTTACCACACTTCAACGTCATCTGTGATCTACAGTCTCACTGTGAAGATACACACCAACATTGAATCAATTCTTTAAATAAATACATAAAAAAATTAATGAACTAATACTAGTATGTTAAATCACATGTTTGACCATCACAATCCACTTAGATAACTAAGGTCTGTGATTTGAAAATAGAAAAGAAGTTCTTCACATCATCACCCACCTGTTGATATCCTTTCTGGGGCTGCGGGTGCCATAACTGGGTTCTCTTTCAATGTATCCCTCGTACATTTGAGATGAAATTTTCTACATAAAATTAAATTGATGTCATCTAGTGAACTCACCATGACAAACTACTGAGAGAAAAATGATAACCAAGCAGCAAGAAATAATTAATACAAACCTCCATCTGAATAATTGTTCCTTTAGGTACAACTCGGACTTTTATGGCATGCAGGCGTTTAATGGAGGATGTGTCCTAAAACATAAACGACATCTTAAAAAATTTATCAACATTGTAGAGCTTTCTATGATGACAACAATGAGAACTTTATGTTATGAATCATGCTTTATCTCGTCAACTAAATACAATAAGTACGGCAGACTTGAACAACTATTTGTAGCCATTATTTTGAATCCTTTAAAATTCCACACTTACCTGTGATGAAACTCAGAAGGCAAATACACAGGCATGGAAGGAATGATGGTTATATGAACTACTCAAGATAAAATCTGGAGTAAAATAAATTTTTCTAAATCTTTCTTTGCTCACCTCAGATACTGCAAATTCCACTTCATCTCCAACTTGAATCTGATGTGCCTAATTAAATTAAAGGACAAACAAATACAGTGAAAGCGTTACCAATAGGCACTTTGCAGGACTTAATCTCGTGCTTGGATACCACATAGCAACGCATTGCTGGTGAGCAAGCAAACCAGTGTCCCCCTCATTGTGGTGATCAACTCAAGTGAATCAAACTTTGACTTTTTGTTAAAAAACATCCCAAACGCTTGTTGTTTAAGAATGAAAAACAAGATTTATTGTGACTTTAGTTTCATCAAGCTTGAATTTTGCCTGATTTACCTTTGCTCAAGGAGTAAAAGCCAGGCGAAAGCCCAAATATAAGACAAGATATGGCCGATTCTCCAGGAACGAGTGATTTCAATCTTATAAACGTAATATCATTTAAGAAAATGGTTTTCAGTGTTAGGAATTACATTTGCTTGAATCCAGAACATTATGATCTGTATTTCGGATTTTGCGTGTTGAATTCTTTAAGTCCGTTGAAAACAACTAGTGTTCACATTCTCGCTTGCTTTCATTTTTGCGGCAACTGAGTGGCCAAATTCTCATCTTGGTATTTCGTAATCATAATCTTTTCACCAACCAATTGCGGATTCACAACTGAGGACAACAACATTTTGTTCTGTTTTAGAACCTGTCAACAAGAAAAAACGAGGTTCTGCATTGCATTGTTGTGTTCCACAGCTTGTTGTCTTCTCATCGTTTTCCTAAGAAAGACGAACAACTCATCAGAGCAAACTGGATCGTAAAAATTCGACGTACATCGTGTAATTATCCAGGCTCAGCGAAAAACTTATAGCCTTTGTGTGCCCGCAGCCAGATTCTTTCTGGGCATAAAATACAAGGTCAGGAAATGCTGACAAGTTGGCTGAAACAGCTAGAGGAAAGAAATAGTGGTATATAGAAATACCACCTCCAATTCAATGTAAACCTTCTAGAATAAAGATACCTGGCGTAAAACTTCGTTTCAAATTGATAACACAAGATAAAAACGAACAATTTATTATAATGAGTCAGCAATGTCCAAGACTGATATAGCGAGTGAGAATGTAAACACTAGTTGTGTTCAACGATCTTAAAAGAATTCGACAAGCAAAATCGGAAATGTAGATCATATTCTTCTGGATTCATGCAAATGTAATTCCGAACACTGATAATCATTTTCTGTATCGAACAATGTTACATTTATAAGATTGAAATATGACTGTAAGCAAAGAAACTAACCTTCACTCGTTCCTGGAGAATCGGCCATATCTTGTCTTATATTTGGGCTTTCACCTGGCTTTTACTCCCAGAGCAAAGGTAAATCAGGCGAAATTCAAGCTCGATGAAACTAAAGTCACAATAAATCTCGTTTTTCGTTCTTAAACAACAAGCGTTTGGGATGTTTTCAACCAAAAAGTCAAAGTTCCTTTCCCTTGAGTTGATGACCACAATGAGTGGGACGCTGGTTTGCTTGCTAACCAGCAATGCGTTGCTATGTGGTATCCAAGCACATGATTAAGTCCTGCAAAGAGCCTATTACCTCAAACCAAGAATACCTATTTTTAAAATGCACATTGTTTTTATTATTACAAATATACAAATGCATGTGTTTATTCATAAATCACTTAAAAGAGACTGCTCCAAGAGCTGATCAAACTTAAGAGTGCTTTTAAATTAATAATTGGACATTACTCACTGTCATTAACAGTCTCCTTTTCACACTCTCTAATACATGTTTCATTACTTTGATACTTTCTTAATACATCTGTTTCAAATCTCAAAAGCAAAAATGGAAGAATTAAACTAAAACTGTAAGGAAAGATATAAAAAAAACTTTCTGCATTTCTTTTAAAGTTTCAGAATCCATGATTCACTTGGTACATACAGAGTCAAGAAGTGCACTGTAGTGGAAAAACATCCTTGCATCTCGATCACAGCACTTTATGAAACCAAATCCTTCTTTCAAAGATGCCACAATGCCCTGGTAGAGAAAAGTGTTCAACAAGTTCAATAACAATCCCAACATAAAAAGATTACCGATGACAGGAATCAAATACACTGTACAATGCTCACATGGACCTCTCTAAAGGGAATCTCTTCGCCAAGGTGTCATTTCACTAAAGAAGTAAGCATAGGAGACTTATCCACTAATACTTCTTACTGTCTGCCAAACAATTCCCATAATGTTTGTTTGAAGAATTTGGTATTGGATCAACTAATAATCCTCTAATTGTCTTACTCAACAAGAAAAATAGTTCCCATTTATTACCAATTCCCTTGTCTCCCCATCATTAGGTTCAGCTACATCAACTAGACTGATATTTGTAGCTCTTTTCAGTGAGTCACGGCGATCTGGAAAAATAGAGAACAGTCTTAAAATAAGCATGTTCACACCTAAAAATGAAATATACTTGTTTCATTCACTTTGGAGTGTTTCCTTTCATGCTCTGCTTGTGCCATTGGAAGAACATCAACATGTTTGTTTCTTAGTACTAAGACATTTTGATAAGCTGTGGCTAGGTTTGAATAAAAGAGACTGCCTTACTACTACACATAACTTAGGTGTGACTCTCGCTCCTATCTCCATTACTTAAAATTGCTTTAAAATTAACAACAACTAAACATGTTAAGTCTCAGTCTAAATCTATCAGTCTGACTGCTTACAGGCTTGCACAGACTATCAAGACCTTACTCTCTCACATGTTACCTTAATGTGTGTCATTACCAGACAAGTCTTTCTGAAAACGTACCAACAGCAATATTAAACTCCACTACATCTCCAATTCTGAGGGAGAAGTCTCCATGCAAATCTCTTTCAGAAAAGACAATCTCTTCCTCAACATCATCATCGTTAAGGGGAGTATAGACAATCTTTCCATGCAATGGATCATGTTGTCTTTTTGCAGCAGATTTACTCAGTGGCCGGTCCACAGTTCCTTGATATCTTTCACTGCTGATGTCTTCAAATTTCACAGTTCCTTCTGGTAATTTATCCACACGCACTGCAACTTCCTTGCCCTGGTTGAACATATGTTTTATAAAAAACATTTTTTGCTATCAATAGGGTTTCAAACCAAAATTAAAAACACAAAAGCAAGCAAAGAAAAAATTCAAACAAATCTGGCTTACATTTCTTGCTTGTATTCCAAACTCCACATCATCTCCTAACATGAGTTCATTAATATTGCCATTGAATTCACTGTAGTGGAAGAAAATCTACAAAATAAAGATTACAATACTTAGCCTAGCAAAAGTACTCAGCAGATCATGAAAACCTCTCATGGCTTTGTAAACAAAGATTTGAAATTACAATGACAACAGCAATCGAGTTGTACAAAACAGAATTTATGTACTTGTATACTGTATTAAACAACTCCAAATTGACAGCACATACAATGTACTGTAGAGGGTATAAAAACACTTCAAGAACCAAATGAAGACCTCCATCAATCTCACCTCACTAACTTTGTCTGCCCTTTCGATAAATCCAAATGATTCCTTCATTGAAGAAACAACCCCCTATCAAAGGAAAAAAATACAGGATTAGATTATGTTCATACATGCAACAGTTTCTTTTATAGTTATTTAACAAGTAGCTTTTCTTATTAAAATACAGTCATCTGCTCATTTCATGTTCAGTGCAAATTCCAAGCCCTGAGGTTTCAAAATAGAACATACCTGACATTTCTCAGTATCTGCTGCCTCTAGAAGGGTGACTTCACGAGCTCGTACAACCCCAGTTCTTAACAAGGCAAAATAAAACAAAAGTAATCATTGCGATGAAATAGTATATCAAATCTTTTATTGATTCATTTAATTCTTTAACATCCAAGATACATCGGTGGAACAAACTACAGTGGATGCATAAAAAGGGATAACAATTTACAAGAACTTGAATTATTTATCTTTGCAGAACCAAAATTTTTTCAAGGTTTCTAAAGCACCAGTGGTTTTAAAAACATGATAGAGCTAGTATACATTATCGTATAAGTACCAAGATTTACTCAGTGCAAACTCACTAAATAAAGATTGTTTCCATTTGATGAGAAACAATTCTATTAACCAAACAGTTCACTATATACCTTTTGTCTGTGGCTACGTAAAATTCAACTTTGTCTCCTTTGTGGAGGGGAATACCTGAACCAACAATGTCATTAGAAGAAAATTGGAGATAGAACACCTCCTAAAGAGAGAAAAAAAGAGTTGCCACCACTGCCATAAGATTTCTGTACAAAGTAGATAACCATTTTACCCTAATTTTATCTACCAAAAGAATAAGCAGCAGGTATCTTTTGTCTACTCACCCCATTCCGCTCATAGCTCACCCTTCCTGAATCAGGATCAAGCACATTTTGTGGCTGAATGAGAAAAATAAAATGAGCACATTTAAGTTTATCTTTTTGACAAGTTATCCTTGTATGCAAAAAAACTAAACCTTTTTTAAAGCAAGACTACTCAGCACTTACAGATTTTGGACTGCTCTTCAAGTATAATTTGGGTTCAGCATCTATCACTCCACATACTGTTTCCTCACTTCGAATCTAAAAATAAATGAATTTGTAAAACAGTTGGGTTTGTCAATGATAATGTGTGTATTTCACATAAAAGTTCAGTTTAATAAAAAAAGAAAATATGACTGTACTGTAATCCAAACAGGAACAAACCCAAACACATGCTAGTAATAAGAGGCCAAACTCCAGTAACAAAAATAGCTGCTGACTTTCTAGTAAGACGGATGGATAATATTTAAGGCTACCACAACCTCCTTGACTGTTGGGAGCCTCAATTGTACTAACCAAAACATAATTTCCCTCCAGTCTGCAAATACTGAGTGATCTGAAGTGTCAAGCAACAAACCTCAAAGGAAACAGAACCAGCTTCAAGTCTCACAACACGGCATGCTATGGGTTTTCCTGTTCGCTGATCTGATGAAATTTCAAATTCCATTTCATCTGTGGACAGATTGCACAAAACAAAGATAAGGAAAATAAATTGACAAAGTGAGAGCTAAAACAATAATGAAATTGCTTGATTATATCAGAACAGACTCGGACAAGGGAAAAAAAAATTTCAAGGAGGAGTTCTCATCATTTTTTCCAAGAGGGCATAAAAATTTATCTTGCAATGGGTTTGCTTCTTGGCCAAGCCCTGATTTTCCTTTTAACCCATAGTCATGGTAACACTTTCAATAATAATAATAATAATAATAATAATAATAATAATGATGATGATGCGCGAGCTGGTGGGAGGCAGAAGCACAGACATACTGCGAAAGATGCAGAGGGCAGTGCTCTCGGGTACACTGAATATTGCCCAGACTTCCAAGGTGGCAGTTTGAATTCCTGTTAGAAGGAGGACCGTAGACACAAGGGAAAAGCTTTTTGGGATTAGTTAATGTACATTTGTTTTTTTACTCCGTGGCTCAGAGGTTACGGTTTTCGCCCTGTACTGCCTGATTAGAATGTAGCATTCAGTTGATTTCTCTGCGACAGAATAATAATATTAATACGTATGATGCACGATCCTCGCAATAGAGAGTGCTATTTATGCAATAGCAAAAATCAGACCTGAAAAAAAATTTTTTTCTGG